GATGAAGAGGTATATATTATATAACATTTTTTTCTTCTTATCACTAAGCTATGCAACCTAATAGGTCTCTATGACGCTCGAGTAAATCCTCATTTTGCATCGTGGGCTCCCCTGCTAATAGTTACCTGACTGAAAGGTTTGGTAATAAATGGATAGGGAATAATAGGCCGGTGAGGCGGCCAGCAAGGTCTCCAGACTTAAGTGTTATGGATGCATGCTTATGGGATACACTGAAAAACAGAGTTTATGGTCAGAGGGAATATCAAATTATTGAGGACCTTCAACAGAGCATTGTTAGAGAGTTTGGAATATTGAGGAGGAAATATATTAATCGTGCAGTGAATAATATTCGAAGAAGGGCACAGTTGTATTATCATGAACAAGGCCAGTATTTTGAGCATTTGCTGTGATTTACTTTTGTCTTTGCATTTTAGTTAATTATTGTTATTTGTTTAAAGTTCTATTTTCATCGAAAAGGACATAATATCTAATTTACCTCATACACACCACATTTATCAAATTTAGATTGTTGATTCTGTCTCCGTATGTTTTCATTGGCTTTTCAAACGAACCAAACTGGGTCAGATTTTGATACTTGATCATAGTTCAATGTGGTTGTCATCTTTCGGAGTACAAGTTTAAATACATTTCCGATGTCCTAACACTGTTTCTATCGTATTTGTATTTCATGAGGCAACCTGCATTCGCTCGTCTGTGGTGGCTCATGAAAGGGACAATGAATGCATTTCAAAAGCGTCCGCAACGTCTGCATCGTGTCTTATTTTGCTTTTTTCCATTCAGAGCAATGTATGTGATAAGTTCGTAGAAAAATGAAGCCACCTGTAACTTCGAGAAGTCCAACTAAACACACCTCGAACTATCCTTTTCAAGGATTATTTCACTTGGAGATCGACGTTATTATGAAATAAACTTCCAGAGATGGTTTTTTGAACGAATATGATTCACAGCGAATAAAATTCAACGTAAATACCAATTTCGTACAGACAGAATGTCCCACATATTTTTCTGCAGTGCTTGCGTCATCGGTAATCGCAGACTTAACAGTTCATTAGATTCGTTGCTAAACGAGTACTCTGATGTGAAAGATTTAGAACAGAATTTTATATTTTCTGTATGTTCCAAATATATTTTTCATTTGAGATAGATTCTATGCCACGATGGCCTTTTGACTTTGAGTTTTTGTAAGGTCATCCTAATTCCCGAAAGGAGAAGAGGCTGGCTATCGAGTATCTGGCGAATTAGAGCTTGGTGCATAGCATGGTGGTACTCCGGACGGGAAGACAGTGATACGGAGGAGGAGAGTCCCAGTGAACAGGGTCAGGGCTGCATCACACCTGTGTCCTTTGACACTCCGCTGCAGAGTTCTGTCTCCCGGTGTACTTCGCTCAACGTGATCAAGTGAGTTATTAGAATGATTTTAACTGTGAATTTGAAATCGGATAGATCACATTCAAACCCTTATTATTTGGGATACATTATTATACAGGGTGAGTCAATGAGATTTTCTCGGTATATCGGTCTGGAGTGAAACAATTTTCCGAACTGTTCAATATTTTTATTTAGGATACAAATGAGAGGTATATTTTGAAATATTTTTTTTCAGATATTAGGTAATTGAGATGAGCGTAGTTAACCATAGTTATTATTTTCTCAATGAAATACCCAGTATACAAATTCTTAAATCTTTCTGAGCGTTTTTCATTTTCAATTATTTTTGTGTTATTGCCAAGTTGTTTCAAAATAACCTATTTTGCAGACTATTCAATAGACTATTCAATAGGATGTCTCATGAAAATGGCTAGTTGGGATTTTAATATAATTATTTCAAGTATTTTGGGTTTTGGTAACGATGTATACGTACTCGATGGAACCCTTCAAACTCCATCTGTTTCTGAACGTTTAAAAATTTCGAATGGAACTACGTATCTGTATCTGTAGAGTAGGGAGGGTGAGTGTAGACCGACAGCACTTAGGCCACATGTGACCTATTGTACATCCTCCTAGGTCATCGTCCATCCTGTCCTTTCCAGAAAGGTGGATAGGTCACTAGGAGACATCTCCTTTATATTGGCAGGTGTAGGCCAAGACTCGCCGAACATACAGTCTCTTTGGCAACTCTTACGGTGGCCTACGTAAAGGTTTTGGAAGGTGCAGCGACATTAATGTCATTGCGCGGCTTCTTCAACCTTCTTGGGGTTCCCTCCGTGGAGGTGAACAGCAGATTCCTTGCCTTCATTCAAGGCGGAGCTCTTAGCACACGCCGCAGAAAGTGCCCTTGCTGTTGGAGGTGGAATGGGGGAGGAGGAGGGTGCACTTATAGTTGCTGCTATTCCTGCCTCCTTCATTCTCTTTCTCCTTTTGATCTCGGCGCCGAAAATGCACTTACGCCTTGGCCTTTGTATTACATCACATATGTCCAGCCTCATTCCAAGCGGTAGACTCGTGTGGACATTTTTTTTTATCCCCAGCCATCGCCTTAGATTGGGGTGAGCACTCCTGTCCAGCCTCGGGATTGGTTTTTGTTTCTGTTTTTGTGTTTGTTTAATTCATGTGTGTAGCCCCAAGGGCAACCAGGCAAGTTTTGCGAAGGCTTTTGTGGAGTTTTAGTTCCCCTCACCTTACTTACTTCTGCCACTGACTAGGAGTCCGGCGACCCCATCTGTAAGAACACATTGACTTACCGGACAGGGCCTCCTGTCCCCTCATCCGCCACCTGGAGACGCGCCCGATACGTAGCCCAATCCACGGGTGAAACTACGTATATTTTTCCATTTGGATACATAACTTTAAAATTCTTCTACATTCCCTTTCAGATATATACTATATATGAAACTGATATTTTTGGAATTATAATCGACTGTGGAGATCAGAATTCAGGCCGGCAGGTCGTGGTCTAATAGAACCTGTAATACCAAACGTTCAGTCTGCTACTATAGCAGATATCATCAGACACCATTCTGAGAACAGAAGCCATCCCGTCAAGTTTCTATGGTCTTTCAAAGATACACAAAAAAGAAGTTCCGTTGAGACCTATAGTGAGTTCACCTGGTTCGCCTACGTATTACTTGTCAAAACACCTATCATCGCTCCTCCAGCCTTATGTTGGAAAAACAACCTCGTACGTCAAAGATTCGACAGACTTTGTGGAAGAAAGTAAGAGTATAACCTTGGAGCCAAGTGATATCCTGGTCAGTTTCCACGTCGTGTCCTTATTCACCAACGCCCCGCTGAAAGATTCTTTGAGAGAGATAGCTAACCTGTGTCCTAGTGATATTTTTGAACTTTTCAGGGCCTGCCTCACGGAAAGTCACTTCCAATGGGAAGGAGATTTCTATGAACAATTAGACGGCGTAGCGATGGGAAGTCCACTCAGCCCGGTGATAGTCAACTTCTTCATGGAGCAATTTGAAAAGAAGGCAATCGACGCTTTCGATTTCAAACCAACCATTTGGCTACGATACGTGGATGATACCTTCGTCATCTGGAGGCATGGGAGAATCAGACTGAACCTATTTCTAGACCACATAAATGCTCAACAGCCTAGCATCAAATTCACCATGGAGACTGAACAGGAACAACGAATAGCTTTTCTAGATGTACTCATCGGAAGGCATGGCACACGACTGATACATAAATTGTACCAAAAACTGACACATATGAACACATATCTGCATGCACTTTTGAACCACCATCCAAGTCAAAAGCGGGGAATTATCAACACCCTAATGGAACTGCTTGTAGAATATATGAACCGAAACACCTACAAGAGAAATGGGATCACCTTCAAGTGGCCTTAAGATCGAATATATACAGTGTAACCGAAATCAACAAGGTCATGGAACTAAAGACTTCCACAAGTCAAAATAGGAAGGAAACTTAAACGGTACATCGCTAGGATTACAGACTGAATCGGAAAAATCTTAAAGAAGCATAAAACAAAAACAGTTTTTAAGTCCACCAGGGAAATACATCAAAGCCTGAGATCTGCGGAAGATAAAAGGGATCCCTATTAGCTGCGGGATATATCGGAAAAGTTCGTATCGGTACCACCGAAAGATCCATGTGTATAGTGCTGAATAAACATCGGAGAAACTGTAAATTAGGTCAAATAGACAAATCGGCAGTAGCGGAACATGCACCTAGTGAAGGAGATTACACCATACTGTTTGGAGATGTGAAATCCATAAACATACGGAAAACTACAACAGAAAAGAGGAGGCGGTAACGATTAACCGGATTTGGAATCCTATACTAAAAGATGCTAAAGTGATGAATGCGCAATATAATGTTACGTCATCACCAGGTAATAACACTGGTAACAGCAACGCTTCAACAAGAGAGGCGGACAACCTGAGTCAACATAAATACAACCTATCTAACCTAATCTAACCTACGAACTAGAAATCACCAGTCATCGGTAAATCATCAACATGAATAAACCTCTGAAGGAGCAAGCAACTTGTTCTGCCGAAACGTTAGGATGCATTTTCAAACTACGACGGCCTTCAAACCCGAATGGAGATAGTAACACTGAAAATCTCGGCCGCGGAAGCCTTAACCAATTTATCAGTATGTGCATTGTCTACGAGGACGAAGGTTATATTTTAAAATCTCAGCGCTCTAAAATATAGTACTCAAATTTCAATATTCAAACAAACATTGGGATCATATTCTAGGAACTACTCAAATATTCTGGTAGAAATGAAGAATGGAAATATGCATTATTTTAGAACCAATCATAATTTGACCATTTGAATATTGGTTTCTGAGAATTTTCAGACTGATTATTATAATGATGGAATATTTGGTAATTTTGCTATAAATAAGTTGTGAATCGAAAATCAATAACGCAAAAAAATATAAATCTTACATCCAGAANTTTAAAAATCAACTTCACACGATAATTTCAATAGCAACCACGTGCGTACAATTGACAAACTCACATAGGTTATGTTTACTACTTAAGAACAGCTGATGAGAGGGGTGTTATGTAAACAAACATGTGTACCAACTGTTGGTGATGAAATATTTCATTTGTTGAAAACTCAATATACATATATATAATATAATGATACTATATCTTGAAAACAAGAGCTAATATATAATTTTTATGGTCACTTTCGGTTTTAACACGTGGAAATACATTAAAATCATCTAATTTCAACCCCGAAACAAAAACTTTGTTGTGTTGTGTAATCATTGAAGTCTTCTCTTTGGAATGTGTTGGTTCATTGTTTTTTTGTAGCCACATTCTGAGTCCAAATCTTCATGAAACATTGTCCAATGAATTTGAAGGATCATGCCGAGGAAATGTGACTATTTCTTTCCACTGACATGCTCTAAAAACGAACCGATAACTCGTTTTCCGACATCCTTTCCTCCTTATCTCGCAAACATTCAGTGACCTACGCTGTTGATAACACACACGTGACAAGTATATTTTAGAAAATCTTTTTTTTGAAATCAAAGCACAGAAACAGAACATTGCTGCTAGTTCACAAGAAGAAAATATATTTTTATAATCCTTTTTTTACAGTCATGTGGTTCCAAAGCATGACCACAAGGAAGCTATGAGAAAAAAAGTTGAATGTAAACAAAAGTAACACATTCATGGTTAGTGAAATTTAAAAAAACAATTTGAAGCTTCGGTTAAACACAGTCCAACGTTGCACTTAGAGCGGTGCCTTCTAGTCCTGTGAGGCTGGGAGCGTGTACTATAATGTGCACATCTAACCTTTGTACCATAAACTGGTAAATGTGCAAATTTATCAAACCTTATTCCAGCGGGAACTGAAACCTTGAATTTATTGGGTATTTTTCTGTATAACCCTTTTGCCTTTCTTAGGCATACTGGAGTCGGCACCAATCAATCCTATAGCAACAGCCAGTCTGAAATCTTTCAGATTCATGCTTTGTGTATCTGGTGTCCGGTCTCTGAATATTATAAAGGCATTCATTTATGGTAAGATCCAAGAAATGCCAGAACAACCTATGCCACCATTTTCTCACTTTGTGTAAGGAAACGAACATATCGGATTGATCTACATATCCCATATGGAAATAATCTTTTACCAGTTTC